TCTGGCGCTCGTTAATTTGTAATTAGTCAGATTGAAAAATTTTCCTCTATCTCGCCATTATCATTACTGCTTCTGTCATCGGCATTATCATTGTCATTATATCTCCATCGCTCCTATCATCATCATTATATCATTATCATTATATCATGATATCATGATATCATTATTTCTTTTTTCATTTTCTTGCATCCTCTATAATTTTCCTAGATCTTGTATTTTAAATCATCATTTTTTCATAAATTGTATTGTTATTATCTCTATAACATATTGTGTATGTCATACACATGTACGTGTGTGTGTGTTTGTACGTATGTTTGTGTGTGTGTGTGTGTGTGTGCGTGTATGTGTGTATGTGTGTGTATTTTCACAAAAGTGTCGAAATGCGTCATACTTGCTTATTGTTTGTATCGGGGGATGTGTCAATCAACAAAAACCTGTTTGTTTTGTTTTGCTGTAGATTTATATGCACACAAAAAAACACACACACCACCACTACACACATATGCGCGCACACACACACACAAACACACACACATTCACATACATACACACATTTATCTAAAAATTTTTATCTTTAGTATTTCTCATATAAATACGCACGAATTAATGCAACATGTGAAAGGCGGGGATAACTTTGAATTCGAACCCAGTAACTACAGCACTAACGTCAAGCACTTTGCCTATTACGCTATCAATCCATATATATTTATTTTTATTTGCATGTTCAAAGCAGTATCTAATACTAAAATGTCTTTTAATACCCTTTTCCAAATTTTCTTATGGCAGTATCACTGCAATCATCCTCATCCTCATCATCATATTCTTCACCAAATCATTATTATCATCATCATCATCACAATTATCTATTTAAAATAAAATAAACAAACGAATAAAAATAAATAAAATTAAATAAATCGCAATCATCATCACAATCATCGTCGAAACCATCATCATCATCACCATTTTAGTAATCATCATCATCATCGTCGTCGTTTGAAACAAACTTACTTGCTGTCTTCTTTCGCTTCATAATTTTGCCACTTAATTTTTCACTCTTGAGGGTGTCAATAATTTATTGATAATATTGAAAACATATTTTTGGTACCGGAAACTAATTTTTTTTACACTTGTGGGTGTTTCTATGTGGTTGTGGGTGTCCACTTGTTGGTGTGGGTGTTCCCATGTGAGTGTAGGTGTTTCCATGTGGGTGTAGCTGTTCATTTGTTGGTGTTATAAAAAAATGATGGTCAAAATTTTGAAAATAATTTCCGTAGCAAACGTTAATAATTTTTTCTTATTAATCAACTATGTTTGAGACCGAAACCAAAACAGGTAGGCGTTCACACACACACACGCACACACACACACACACACATTTATAAAAACAAACACACACAATAAAACAAAACAATACACACACACACACACATCAACGTACCTTCATGCACGACGACAAAAAATCACGTCACAGCTGTTTACGACAGAGATTATAATTATTATCTTCACACACACACACACACACACACACATAAACACACACACACACACAAGCGATCACATACACACGTGTATAGTACAAATACACAGAAATAAACACCCACACGTAATTTCACCAACAAGCAGAAGAGGAACATACGAGCAAAATATGACTCTGCATCAAAGCATCTCAACTCATTTGCAGAGGTCAGAGGTCAGAGATTCGGTCACAATCGACTTCAACCGCGTTTACTTCCTTCATTTGTTTTTATTTTCGTATTTTATTATTAATACTGTTTTTTTGTTTTCAAGGCAGCAAATATATTATCCTATTTTGCTTTCAACAGAGTCAATTTTTTGTTATATGAATTAAGAATAACCTACTGTCACAATAATTTAATAAGAACAAATCAATTTTTAAAAACTGTTTGGTTTTATTAATAAATTAAATTTAAAAATTGAGATATTATATAAATTTACCATGTCAAATTTTTTACATAAAATACAAAACAATTTAAAATTATCCCACCATCATCATTTTCATCATCATTTATATCATCTCTGTATCGTGGTCGTTATCATTTATGATGACACCATCGTCACCATCTTTGTGATAATCATCGTCGTCGTCGTCGTCGTCATCATCTTCTTTATCACCATCTTCATCGTCATCCTCTTCATCATCATCGTAATAATCACCAGTACTGTCTTCATATTAATGAAGGGCATTTACCAAGCCATGAACTATATGGGGTATGTATATAAACATGCATGTATACATGTATATATACGTGTATGCATATATATACATATTATATGTATATATATATAAATATATATAGATATATATATATATGTATATATATATATATATATATAGTATATATATATATATGTAATATGCACGGGTAAATGTGGGCTTTGATGTCCTTCGTAGACATAAACCCATAATGAGACCAGAGTAATAAAAAGTAATAATAGTAATAATAATAATAATAGCAGTAGCAGCAGTAGTAGTAGTAGTAGCAGCAGCAGTAGTAGTAGTAGCTGCAGTAGTAGTAGCCGCAGTATTAGTATTAGTAGCAGCAGTAGTAATAGTAGTAGCAGCAGCAGCAGCAGTAGTAGCTGTAGTATCAGTAGTAAAAGTAGTAGCAGCAGCAGTAGTAGTAGTAGTAGCAGTAGTACCTATAAGTTGTAGCAGCAAAAATAATTTTTTTAACGGAAACGTCTTTCCCATGTAAAGTTTGTTTTTCATATAAATTATTTCAAAAAACTTTAAAAGTAAATAAGAAAAAATCTTAAAGTGGTAAGTAAAAAACAACAGACAGAAAAATATGTTACATTCACAATGGTGTTTGTTTGACAACAAAAAACAACAACGCATTAACAAAAAACATTAGCAACAATAACAACAACAACAACCACAACAACAAAAACAACAACAAAAACAACAAAAACAAAAACAGCCAGAACAAAAATATCAACAACAACAACAACAAATAGACCAACGCAACAACAAAAACAAGTGGAAAGAGTTATAATAACAGATGACAAATATATGATCATGATTGATGACAGTAACGTGTATTGTGACGTCATTTGTTTCCCTTTGATGCCATTGGCTGATTTATTTATTTACGTGTGATTCTCTGCGTGTGTGTGTATGTGCGCGTGTGTATGTGCGTGTGTACATTTTTCTGTATGTTTATATATGTGAGTGGAAGTTTTGTTTTGTTTCCTTTATTTGATAAATGTAATTGAATGTTTTCATTGTTTATTATAAACAATTTTAGTGGATATTTGTATGTATGTCTGTGAGTTTATTTGTGCGTTCTGTCTGTCTGTCTCTGTCTCTCTCTATTTTTCATTTCTCTCTTTTTTTCTCTTTTTGTGTGTATGTGTAAGTGTGAGTGAGTGAGCTCTTATTTGTTGAACAACATAGCAGGGCCACAATTATTTTCATTTGCTGCAATGCATATACATATAATTAATTTAACTCTCTACAGGTAGATTGGGATGATTATGGTGACGATAACGATGGTGCTGCTGATGATGATACAAATCATGATAATGATGATGATAGTGATGGTGAAGATGATGGTGGTGAAGGTAATGATGATGGTGATGGTGATGATGAAGAGGATGAGATGACGATGAGGAAAAAGATGATGATGATCAAAATAGTGAAAATATCGAAGACGACGATGACATGAAGATTATAATAATAAAAATGAAAAAAATTTTGGCGAATTTTTAATAGGCTAAAAACTTAGATGGGAAAAATGATGACAATGATTGCGCAAAAAATGAAAATGATGTATGTGATGATGACAACGATGCTAGTCTTAATGAATGCTCTGTTCTAGTGGTGGGTGACTGCCAAGAAATAAAATTTTGAAACTTTGGACATTGTCATGTCGTTATGATACATCGTTTAAAAAATTTCTTAGCAGATGGAAAAATAAACAACTTCCCTCACAGAATTTTCTCTAAAATCACTAAAAGAATTTCCTCAAAAAAACAGTTTTACAGACACACACACAAAAACATCCAAAAACACATACAGGAATACAAATTTCAAAAACCAATCATCATACACACGCACACACGCATTCACAAGTGCAATAACTAAACCCACATATACAAACGCGCAAGTTTTTACATACACACAACACACACACACGCACACATCCAACCCTAACCAATGAGCCGTGGAGAAATTATTCATACGGAACGTATTCAATATCTCGACCAATCAAATTCATCCTTTTTAAACCATCAATCAACAAAGTCAACCAATTGAATCGCTCCAACACGTTCATTTTAACTGTTGGTGTGTACACTTGTTTTTATTCTAAATGGTCAACATTTTATTACATGGGAACCCTTGTAAGTTAACCATCTATATACTTGTACGTATGTTTATACTTGTATATGCATTGAACATACATGTATGATAATATATGTGTTTATGTATTTATATACGGGGTTGTGTAGTTTTGAATGTTACTTTGCTGTTAAACACTTGTACGTGTTTCATTGATCGCACGCTTAATTATTTAACGGACATCTAGTGCTTTCGAAACTTCAAAATTTTTAGTCAAGATCTGATGGACGTGTCAGAGAACTCTGAATCGTTTTAAAATTAGTTGAAAGTCTAAATTTTAAAACTGCGTCACTTTTTCGAGATTTTTAAATGAAACAAAAAATTTATTAAATCTGTGCATGTCAGATATAAAAACTTTTTTGCTCCGGAAATTCTGCATAGTGACAAAAACAACACACCAATAGCAACGACAACAACAACAACAGCTTCCATAAAGTTGATATTGAAACGAACAACATCAAAACATCCAACGACATCTTCAACCACAACCATGGCAACAACAACAACAACTTACCTTTTCCATCAACAACATCGAACGAGCAACAGACAGCAACAGCAGCAAAATAAGCACAAAAGCAGCAACAACACCATCAACAACAACAACAACAACAACTCAAGTTTAAGTCCTCGCACAAAGGAAGAGATGCGACTACGCGTGAACGCACGCGAACGCCAACGTATGCACGACATGAACGGTGCACTGGACGCACTAAGAAGCGCCATGCCGTACGCGAGAGGACCATCCGTGAAGAAACTATCCAAGATGAACACGCTGCTACTAGCACGCAACTACATCCTACTCTTAACAAAAACCACTGAAGATCTCAAACGAATGTTGATGCAGGCTCTCAATCAAAGCAACGCAAACACTTCCGGCAATGGCCGGGAAAATTTTTCGAGTTCCGGATTATCGCTTGGATGGGCGGCGAAACTGGAAGCGCAGACGTTACTTGGAAGCGTGCAAGAGGCGTACGACAAACAGTACAAATACGCCGAAGAACTGTTGATGCTGCAAGAGGAGCAGCAGAAGTTGATGAAGAGCAAGAAGTTCGTTCGCCAACGTCCTGCCGAGAAATATGGAAACATTCTGGGAAAGAAAGACGTTGCAGAGAAGTACAACATAACCGATGGCGGTGGTGATGACGATATTAATGGCGATGATAATGATGACGTAGTTGTAGATGGAAGTGATGATGATGATGACGGTGCAAACGCAGAAACTGTGTGCGTGGGTAGCTCGTATGAAAGCAAGTGTGCGAGAAATATTCAAAATGGTAACGATGACGTCATAAAAAATTCTGGTGTTGTTGTGACAGTCAACAACAAAAACAGCAACAACAACAACAACAACAACAACATGAAAATAAAAAAAAATTTCAACAACAGTGTTAACATCAACGTGAACATCAACAATAACAACCACAACGAAAACAACAATTATATCAACAACAACAACAGAATCGATAGCAACACCAACTTCAGTAACAACAACAACCACAACAACAACATCGTCAACAACACCAGTGTAAGCAGGAATGAAAAAAGAAGCAGCAAAAACAGCGTTTATCTTGAAACTTCAGGCATCTCCATTGGAGCGCCGAGAAAGAAATCACCGCAAGCAGCTCCATCACTACATCCGGCATCTTTCCGTCTGCAACATCCAGTAGTATCTTATCCTCAACTTTCCATTCCATTCTTAACATCATCTTCTTCACCACTACCACCATCATCATCATCTTTGCCACCTCCACTATCATCATCATCACCACTAGCAGCACCAGTAACCCATTATGAGGCACGTGACTATTTCAGAACCGGAAGTAGGCGAACTGAAAGCGGGGGAGCGATAAAAAGAGCACGCGCACGCGACAGCGATAACAAAGATAGCAAAAAGTTTAAATCTGATCCGGAAGTACTGCTTTTAAGAGGGTCACATGATAAGCAAGATGGCCGCTGCCATGGCAGTGATGGTGATGATTATGATATCAATGGAAGTGAAGATGGCGATGAAAAGAACGTGAAATTAAAAATAAAATCCGAAAAAATTGAAAAAGATGAGAATGTTGACAACAGTGGTGAAGTAAAAATGATAATGAAGAGTAACGATGATGAAAATGATGACAACAAGAATGGTGATGAAGATGATGTCGTTGATGTTGTTGATTGTAAACAGGACAGAATGGATAACTGCAATAAAAACTGTTTCGTTGGCAAAGACGATGAAAGCAAAGATGATGACGATGGTGACAATAAAGATGAAAATGATAAAGATGGTGATGATGGTAAGAATCGTGTACTTAATGAACTCAGACATAATAAAAATTTACTTGGAAACGTAGATAAGGGAACCAACCAAACAAACGAGGCCATGGCCACAACTACGTTCGATTACAACACTTTCATTGTTGATGGAGGCAACACATACGGCAATAAAGACAATAACATTAATGATGAAGACCTCGTCAGAAGCAATGACAACAAAAATTACAATATTTCGAATTTGTTTGAATTTTCCCAACAAAGACATCAACTACAACAACTGCATCAATTTCAACAACATCAACAACAACATCAACAACATCAAAAACAACAACAACATTCTTTCAACGCAACCAGAGCCTTACAACACAGCCTACTACATCACTATCATCATCACCATCATCATCATTTGCAACAGCATCAACACCTTTACCTACAAAACCAGCATCATCAACAACAACAGCATTCACTCATTTCATCACCCTTCTTTTTTCCTCACCATCATTACCATCCACTCCTTTTTCCACGTCTCCATCTCTCCATGACGTCACCGACTTCCGATCGTCACGTGATGCTGACGTCGCCACAAGAAGCTTCGCACGCCATCGCGTCCGTTTGCTTGACTAAGAAAACATGATGATGAAGAAGAAGAAGAAGAAGAAGATGATGATGATGATGATGACGACGATGATGATGATGATGACGATGATGATGATGACGATGACGATAATATAGATAATGGTAACAGTATTTTCTCACCTTGATATAAACATTTTATTGTTTTCCCTGCCATAAAAAAGCCCTTAAAATTTTTTCAAACTTTCGATCTAATAAAATCAAATGTGAAATATCTTTGACCAGCTGCCGTGTTGATTTTGAAATATTTTTCAATATTTATGCTACTCGTCACGTAATGCAACACGAAAAAAAATTATTGCTGACATTTTAATCGCTTAGCTAATCACACATTTGATGAACTGAAATGACTGATTAATCACAACGCAAGATTAATACATACGCCTGCGACTGTCAAGTTGTCGTTGATGAAGATGCGGATACCTCCCTCACTCACTCAGTCACTCATTCACTCACTCACTCATTTCTTCACTCACTCACTCAATCACTCACTCACTCAAACAATCACTCATTCACTCACTCATTCACTCACTCAATCACTCACTCACTCAAACAATCACTCATTCACTCACTCACTCATCACATGGGGTGATGTTGACACATTGATGCGTAAATTCGGTATATGAGTTAATCACAGGGTAGTCAGTGATATTACAACAAGAACTTTCAAATACTACGCTAGCTGGTAATCTCTGTGTCTGTGTGTGTGTGTATGTGTGTACAAGATGTGCGTGCGTGTGTGTGTCAAAATTAAATATAAGCATGACTGATTTATAAAAACTTTTCCTAAGGACATCAGCAGAAAACTTCAACTTCTACAATACTAGCGATCAAACTGCATTGCTACTGAAATTTTCAAACTTGAAATCTAAACTATGGATGATTTTTAAACAACTACATTAAAAACGACATCATTAATAATGGCAACAATAACATCAACAATAATAGCTATTATAGCATCAACAATAACATCACAAAAACATAGAACCAACATCAAAAACAACGTCAACACTAACATCAACGACAACAACAACAACAACAACAACATCAACGACGACAACAACAACAACAACATCAACAACAACATCAGCAACAAAAATAACATCAACAGCAACAACACCCCCAACTGATATCCAATTACTGAATAATGAAACAACAGTCTGTTCGTGTGCCTTGTCTCAAGATGATGGACTGTCGTTGTTGTGTTGTTGCTGATGTATGTTGATCTGTTTGTATGTGTGATATGTTTGTATGTTGATGCGTTTGTATGTTGCTGTTTGTATGTTGATGTGGTTGTTTGTTGATGCGTTTGTATGTTGCTGTTTGTATGTTGATGTTTGTATGTTGCTGTTTGTTTGTTGATGTGGTTGTTTGTTGATGCGTTTGTATGTTGCTGTTTGTATGTTGATGTTTGTATGTTGCTGCTTGTTTGTTGATGTGGTTGTTTGTTGATGCGTTTGTATGTTGCTGTTTGTATGTTGATGTTTGTATGTTGCTGCTTGTTTGTTGATGTGGTTGTTTGTTGATGCGTTTGTATGTTGCTGGTTGTATGTTGATGTTTGTATGTTGCTGTTTGTTTGTTGATGTTTGTATGCATATGTTATTGTATGTTGTTGACATTGCTGGGTATTGTGTTTTTGTATGTTTTGAGCTGTTGTATGTTAATTTTTGGCGGTTTCAGCAAATAGTATTAATGTCATAGTGTTGTTGTTGTTGGCGCGTATTGAATGTTGAGTTTGTTGTATAATAATAGTGTTTTCACGTCGTGTTTGTATGTTGATGTATCGAGGTTAATGTTTGCGTCATTTCACGGTTGCCTTGTGATGGCTTTTAATAAATTTGAATAAGAATTGAACCTAATCTTGCTGAAATAGCATCAATTGAATTAAGTTTTAATGAAAATTAACATAAAAAAATATATTAATCTATTTCGTCTTCATCATAAATGATATAAACAAAACATCATCTGTTGTAAAACATTAATAAATAAGGATAATTAGGATTATACTACTACTATTACTACTACTACTACTAATACTACTACTACTACTACAACAACTACTACTACTACTACTACTATTACTACCTTTACTGCTTCTAACTATAAAAATAATATTATAATAATTATAATAATAAATATAATAATAATCATAATAATTATGAGCATAATTTTAATTGTATTTTGCCAGTGCGGACTGCGTCCCCATGACATGACATACAATTAACCTTTCTCTATTTATTGCTCGGCTATGATCTTCATACACACACACGCACACACGCGCGCGCATCCACACACACACACAAACATTCATTCCACAACACACACACGCAAACAACACACACACATACATACATACATACATATTTGTGTATTTACCCACACACACACACACATAAATATACATATGTACTACACTTAATTTGTATATACAAACATAAATGTATGATGCTGAATGCCATGCGGGAACCGTATTATATGTTTGTATTGATTTGTGCTGCAGTGCTAAGAATTATGCTCGTACATACAAGACGCGTGTGCGCGTGCGTGCGTATGTGCGTAATGTGTGTGCGCGTGCGTGCGTGCGTGGTGTGTGCGTATGTGCGTGTACTGTTTGTGTATGTGATTTGATTCGCGTGCACATGCATACACTGAAAACAAAACATCATACACCACACACACACACGCGCGCACACACACACACACGCGCGCACACACACACACACACTTCTGAAGTCTTTTCAAGGGAGGCGCTATACAAATTTAGATACTGATATATAAATTTAAATGATTTTCTCAATACATTTTCCAGGTATTTTAACAGAGATACATGCCTGGTTTCTGATGCGTTTGAATCTGCGTTTGCACTTGTGTGTGTGTGTTGATATAAATTTATTAACTATGTGTTTGTATGC